TATGGAGGGGACTGGGACAGACTGGGGGGACCCGGGGGTAGATGGAGGGGGGGTCCCAGTGGTATAGAGAGGGGTGTGGGGCAGATTGGGGGAGACCTGGGACAGATAGAGGAGTCTGGGGCAGATTGGGGGAACCCTGGGGTATGTATGGGGAGGGATCAGGGGCAGATGAAGGGAGCAGGGGTAGTTGGGATGCACGGGGGAAAGTAAAGCAGGCTCTGGGGTAAACTGGGGGGGATTCAGTGGTGGACAGGAGGGTCTGGGGGTCTGTGGGGGGACCCTGGGGTAAATGAGGGTGAGCCTGGGGTACATATGAGGGGAATCTGGGGCAGATTAGGGGGACCCAGGGGTAGGTGGGATACACTGGGGTGGGTCAAGGAGGGCTCTGGGGCAAACTGGGAGGGATCCAGGGGTAGAGGGGAGTGCGTGAGGGGCAGCTGGGGGTACCCAGGAGTAGATGGGAGGAGGGTGAGGGCAGGTGGGGGGGACTGGGACAGATGGGGGACCCAGTGGTGAGACCTGGGGCAGATTAAGGGGACACAGGGGTAGATGGGGTGGAGCTGAGGAAACAGAGGGACTCAGGGGCAGCTGAGGGGGCCAGGGGAGATGGGGGGCTCAGAGGGATATGGGGGACGTGGAATTGGGGGGCAGGGGCAGATGGGGGGATCCTGGGACAGGTGAGGCACCTCAGGGTAAATGATGGAGAGGAAGCAGGGGCAGGGGGGGATCTGCCACCAGTGTGGGACCCCTCTCACTTCTGTGGGGCCCTTGGTCACCCCTGGGTGGATTTTGGGGCTGGAGCCACCCGAGGGGTACAACCCATCAGGAGGAAAACCTCCAGGTATTCTGGAATTCGTCCCAGCAGCTCACCCAGCCCCAGCACTGTGCCTCAGTTCCCCCTTTCAAAAAACTCAGGATAACTGGGATCAGGGGACAGGGCTGTGTCCTGGTGTGACAGTGACTTCCAAGGAGCTCCTGGGTGACCCTGGGGTGACTTTGCTCTGAGTTTGGGGGTCTGGTCACCCCAATGGGCCCTGGCAGGGGTGGCTGTGGGTGAGCTGGGAACAGATGGATGGGATGGGAACCAGCTGTTTCTCACACACGTGGAATTCCTCCTTTCCCTGTGAAAGGCCTAAAAAGAGTCTCATAAACCCCCTCCTCTGCCTCCAAAATACAGCCTGGGAGGGGACCAAGAGGGGACAGGGGGAGTTACTGGAGTGAAGGAGGGCAAATCAGCCAAATCCAATAAAAAATGGAGCTGAACCCCAGACCAGGGGGAGGGGGGACATGGCCCTGCCACCCACCCCCCGCCTGAGCATCCTTCCCCTGCCCCTCAGATCAGAAACTCAGAGCAACGCCCTCCACAGGGGTGGGAATCATCAAGGGGGGTCTGGGGGACCCTCACCTGAGTCACTTGACTCGATTTTAATTGCTCTGTAATTAGCAGGACCCAAATTAATTATTTTTTAACATGTATAAATAACAGCAGCGAGAAGTGAGGGGGAGGGGGGGAAGGGGGCAAAACCCGGGGAAAGGAAGGGATGTGTCCCCGGGGTAGGGAGTGTCCCTGGGGCATCGTGGGGTCCCAGAGAAGGGGGGGCACCCCCGGGGCAGTCGGGGGTCCTGAGCTGGGGGGTCTCAGGGCAGTGGCAGTCCTGCGGCAGGGGGGTCCTGGGCAGGGGGGTGGTCCCTGGGACATTGGGGGGGGGCTTGGACAAGGGGGTCCTGGGGCAGGGGGCGTCTCTGGAGCAGAGGGGGTCCCTGGGGCAATTGGGGCACCCGGCTTGGGAGGCAGTCCCGCAGCAGGGGGTGCCCAGAGCAGGG